CTCCAGCTTAGTTTAATGCTTCCAACATCGTATACACACATATTTATGATGTCATCCTCTAATCCTGGAAAAATTACGGGATCCGACACTGCATAAGATGGTTTAAGAGACGTGAAGGCTCTTTTAACTCTAAAAAATATCTGTTATAGACTTACAGTTCTAGAAGATCTTCATTATTGAAGCGTAGATACTCCGTCCGCTTCACGAATAGTATGGCCTAAAATATCAATARCACTGCGCGTTAACWAGAAACATTTTATCTCAAAAAAGATCGCAGACTAACTAAAATTTATATAACCAGTGAAACTTGAGGATTCTGATTAGCCAGGATATCACGAATCTTCCGCTTTAATAATAATTCTTTATCTTCTGCTCAGTGGACTTTCATCGATAATTCTTTATCGCCTATATCTCCTTGGTTTATTGAAAAAGGTATTTCGTTACAAAAATGATTTTGGTAGCACTTAGCTATTCTTCCTAAAGTAACTGATGGCAGTACTAGTCTCCTCCTCCTTTGGGCTTCCTTTGTGACACTAGGGACTAGTGACGAGAAAGGAAAAATAAGAAGAGGAGTTAGCACACCTCCCCTCTCTCGCCCCATTCTCACTTTTCTGAATCACAAAAAAAGACAGGAAGCCCGTAATTTTTAGTGATGTCTGCAGAGGAGGCTAGGGCAGTACAATGAGACAACCCGACAAACCTCCTCAGAAGTTATGATTCCATCATTATCATAATCCCACTCGTCAAAATAGCCCACTGTGGTGAGTGACTTGCCACCTACAAGTATAATCAAATGTGATTGGCTCATAACTCTTAAACGTCGCAGTTTATATAGCTATTTTAAAAAAGGTTGTCGGATAAAATGCAGAATGTCAATTGTCGAACGGCAATTGCACAACCGCAAGTATCCATGGGTTTTGCTTGGTGAAGTGAAGTAACAACTGATTTGTACTATAAGATGGTCTGCGGTAAACATTGGCTCCATTTAGTCTCCATTTCTGTGTAAGGTGAATCTAATAAGTGAAATTTTGTTTATCAAAACAGTATAAACATAGTCCCTTTCGGTCGTGCAATCTCCCTTCGACAATCGCCGTTCGCCGTTCTCCCCGACAACGTTTTTTGAAATAGGTGTATATCCGACGAGTCAACTGTCATCGTCAGTCCTTGCGTCATTAAGAATGAGTTCTGAGATATTTTTGAATAATCTGAACAACACTTTTTATAACTTGTGACAAGTTTTGAAAGGGTACATAACACTTACTTTCTATTTCTGGAATGACGATGTCATTAAAAGCTGATAAACCTCCTCGCGCAACGCTATTTTGGAGTTTCTGTCGTTCGGCAAGATTTATAATATATTCGCATTCTTCGTGTGAGAGAAAGTTGGGAATCTCTACCAAAAGAATAATAATATAAATGTTGTAATGATGATAACAAGAAAAATGTCGATATCAAAGTATTATTGACTTTTCTTGCAGTCATCACTGAACTCGGGGAGTTGAGTTTGGAAAAAGTCACAATGCATAGCCGATGATTAAATCTTTTTTTTTTTTGAGTCATTTGACTGACATCAAAGCGTCCAAGTAGTGCCAGTCCTCTGGTTGCCGTACCCAGGCCCTCCTCTTTTTAGACCAAGCGCTAGTACCAGTGTTCCGCGTGTTACTCACCAAAGACAGGTGGCTTCATTGCTCGAGTGATGATATTAACGCTTTTATCTCCCAAATCTTGCTGAAATACGTGGCCAACCTGAAAGAAATACATATATCTCTTTTCTAACTAATCTTTCATAATTGTAGCATAATTGTTCTTTTGGAAATGTACAGGAAAGAACGAAGATGATTATTTATGCCAATTCTTGTTGATATTCTTTTAATCGGCTTTTGTTTTCAAGAGACTAAGGTGCCAAATCAAGTAGTTCTACTCCAGACACCAATGAAAAGTGAAAACATAACATCTTTGAGAGTTGGTATTACTTTTTGAAACTGAATTACGACCCATTCAGTCATTATTTTTCRGTATTTTCCTTCGTAACTTTGTACAAACCTTGACTCCATCTATTCGTGTTAAGGGAGTAGTGTGTCCTATCYTACAAGGTCCGTCCACGGTTTCTGAATCATCTTCTTGGCTTTCTTGAGCATTTCTAGGACTAAGGCAGCTTTTTTGCTTTGAGGAACWTGAATTACTGTCAGAAATTGAACCACGAAGGATAGTAATAAAGATAAAAAGATAAATCCAATATCTGGGCATATTATTGTTAGGTGTCAGAGAGACTAAATGGTGTACAGGGTTATGTTTTGGAAGTGACTTTAATAAATTATTAAGTGATTTTAGCTGGGAAAGCAAACGTTAGGCGTTTGCACGTATTTGGATCATCGACTGTCGAAATGGTAGTTTCGGTTGCAGTGCTTTTGACGTTGTTGTATTTTATTTGCCTTTTGTGCATGGTGATGTATGGTTGTTTTTATCATATAAATTGTCAGTGTTTTGAATTTTTGAAACGCTAAATACTAGCGATGTTTGTCCGGTAATGGCTGGTGCTACTTAAAACTATCTCTASGATTAACATTGTAAAGCCATCTGGGTAGAAGAGTGCTTTCAACACATACTTTTCATAATATAGAAATGAAAGAAAGTTATAGTGCTTAGAAGAAGGCAATTCCGGGAGAAATCCCTTAGGAATAAATTCGGAAAAATTAATTGCTCAAGTCTTTTATGGTTTAATCGCTAGCTCCATAAAAATTATCTTGTAGTTATAACTCGCMGAAAATTTTGTAGCCAACTTCACAGTCATGAGCCGATATGTGCAGAATCCATTTAGCTCGTAAGATATTCAAATGGGTTTCGATACTGATTAAATGGCACAACTTTCGAGAAGCCACTTTCTGTTTATTTTTATCCATTCATTTTAAGCGGAAGTTGTTTCGTCTTTGCCCTGTTTGCCCGGAGGGGGAASGAAACCTGAGTAAAAGTACCGGGGATGCTCGTCTGATCTCATAGGGGTAAAAATTCGTGACTGGGAATCTTTTAGGGTGCCAATTTAGAGTTTCTGGAAATTTGTATTTTCTGCAATCTCTTAGGGTGTCGGAAAAGAAGAGAAGAGCGCATTAATATTGATTTTCTTCTGCGTTTTTATGATTGGAACTGATTTATAACTTAACAATATTTGTTGTGCAATCTCTTAGGGGTTAAAAAGAGAGCCACGCTCTTTTTTCAAGACTTCCGGGATCTTTTACCTGTTCTTTTACCCCGGGCCTGTTTGTGCATTAGCTTGATGTTGGTTCACTATAAAACGTTTTCAGTGTCCCTGCTATCATGTAGATGCGTGTGGTAAACTTGCAGCAAGGGCTAGAGGCTCTTTTTTTGTTTTTGTTTTTGTTTTTTGTCAGTTTTTGTTTTTTGTTTTTGAAATAAACGAAAACAACAATCATAGCTTAACTGATTTGAAACACGTGCATATATACTTTGATATTGACCGCAGATAATGTGTCGTATACTCTAGCTAAACTAAGTAAATTACGTAAGCATAATATTACCTTGAACGCACGTGGTAACGCAGCAGACCGAGTAGTAATCCAAGCACGTTGCGCTAAGGGGCTGCGCGATATTTATGAGGACCCTCCAGATAAATATTGCTCCGTCCCTAAGCAATATTATCTYCCCTGCCATACTATCAAAASCTTTCACGTTGGATTCYGAGGATAGCCAGAAAATACAGTTTTTTAGCATAACGTAAATATCAACTTTGTTATAGCAGGGGGAACCATAGACTTATCTTCACTTCTCTGAGTTATTTCCGGATTATGCTCGCTCTAAGGATTCTAAGCTTTGAATTAATTGAATTGTAAAGTTTATTGTAAAATACTGCTATGTTTGCAAAATTGCACCAGACATTAGGCCGGTAAAACGTGGTGCCGAATGCCACCTGCGTCGCAAACGATAGTAATAGCCTCGTGTGCAGCTRCATCAAAGTGAAAGAGGAATTTGAAGTCTAAAGAAGCGTAAWTGAGTATGCCTGCTCGTCATCAGTTTGTGAATTGCGTCAAAAAAAAATGAAAAAAGGAAAAGAGAATAGAAAGGGAAATAGAAAACACTTATTCACCAGACTTGACAAAGTCCAAAGTGAAAAATAACATGGTAAAGCTTTCTCTTCCGCGTTTTCCGTTGTGCTTCTTGTGRTTTTTACAATAATGACTGTCCTGTATTTGAAACCCCTARAAAAAATCGCAGCKCATTAATGGGCTTGCAAGAACGAAAAAAAATCCAATTCAAACTGCGCTTTCTAAAATCGACCTTTACGTCGATACCTTTAACCTTGCATTTGAAAACGACCTCCTTGGAAAGGAAAACAAACTATCCAACCATTTCGTGTATTTGGATAACGAGTTAAAAAAAAACACGCTGCAAAACCAACAAGCTCGGAAATTATTCCGACAGATTTTCTAAGAGCATTTTGTATGGGAAAACAACTTCAAAAGGCACCGCACTACCTGCCTTAGTGGCCATTGCTTCCAAGTGGTATTTGCTGATTGCTGGAAAACTAGAATAACAGTTGTTTTATTTATTCGCTTAGGAGTTAGTTTTGGCGCTTCATCTTCAACTAAAACGAATTTGTTGGAAGTTGTCAGTAATAAGATAATTAGTTTTAACGCGGTAATTCTTACAGTAGATACTGTATTGGGGTTAGGCTGCACCTTGCGCGCGCCTGGTGTTGACAGAACAGATTCTCTTTTCATTACTGGTCATTATATTATGAAGTTTTTTAGACGTTTTCTCGGAAATACATGTATCAGTACTTTTGGAGAACAATGCGTCCGCGCAATCTTGAAAAATGAGCACCGAATTACTATGTTGTGCCTTAGAACACATTATGTAGTTTCTAAGTCAACCAATCTATCATTATATTGTATTACATTTTCAAGATGGCGGACGCAAGTACTGATGCATGTTTTAGAAGAAAAGCTAACGTCACCTTCTAAAAATTTCTTTCTCACCTCTAAAACTGATTTTTTTAAGTTAGCAGGGTTTCTAGTATGCTTACAAGCGACTAAAGCTGTTGGAGTAGCAAACTCGCGATTTCTTCGCCATTACATATGCTGAGCTTTGAACTTTAATTACTATGTTTATCGTTTATGCCTTGACCTTGTTATCACACGAACTAATAACAGACAACCACGTTTTGCGAGCTAAGCAATTTTCACAACAATACGTTTGGAAATTGTTTTCGCAATTTATATTGGTGTACTTGTTTACGTAGAAAATGATTCCCATTGTAGATTCTTAAGTCCATAGTTATTTTCTGTTTTAAAGGTGATTTTATTCTGTGCTAGAGCGTTCTTGTACCATCGTGACCTTTGAATAAATACAACGTTAGCTAAAAAGGTAACCCAAAGATTACTAGGAACAACTGAAAGAAGCAGGGGAAGTATAGTTCATGATACTAAAAAAAGAATTGAGGTAGAAAACGAGACTTAAAGACAGACTTTCCACTAACGTTAGGCGCCAAAAGTGGCCTTTGATTGATGACATCATCCGACGAAATCATTACAGTGACATCATACTTTCTAACTGACATCGGATCTCTCATGTGCAGAGGTCAATGCAAATTACTCCAATCTTTTGTGTTTGCTCATTATKAGCTCATTTACATTGAACTCAGCACACGTAAAGCACGACGTCGGAAACAGGCTTGGCACTAGGAAATAGACATAAAAGTTGTTTACAACAAATTTGCACTTCAGTTTTGTCCAAGATCTTTGATCGTATTCAACATGCATAACATGGACATGGATGTAGAACACCTTATCTACAGAATTCCAAAACTTGCACGTGCCAAACGAATGTGGGAAAGAGTTTCTATTCCGCTCTGCTCGGTCCTTTTTGTGRTTTGTATAGTTTTAACGGTGTTGTATTTGAAAGCTAACTCAAAAACTATTGAACATAATGARGTTGCAAAAGCGCARACGGCAAATTCAAACTCGAAAAACCGGCCGAGCCCCACAATACCTTCAAAGAWCAGGACGGACAACTCGAAAAACCGGCCGAGTCYCACTACACCTTCAAAGAACAACWGGACGGACATTTGCCAAGATACCGGGAACTTGGAATGCAYCCTCGCCAAGGGTATGTATGTATGTGGAGGGTTGTCAATGTAGCAATGAGCCAGCTATTTCATTTGAATAAGTAAACTTGCGGGCAAGTTTCATTTGAGTTTTTAGTATTTTTGCACTTTTGCATTAAAAGATACAAAGTTTTTAGAGGGACATTTGAGGAACATTTGAACTGTCATTTGACATTATCAATCTCAGAGCGACGAGCGGTAGCATACGGAACTAAATCTATAATAAAATAATTTTCAAACATTTTATATCTTCTTCATTATTCTTCATTATTGTCCTAGTTTAAATTCAAGGACATTTGCTTTTCTTGTGGTGGTTGCATGTGTTTTGTGCTGTAAATTTAGTAAATTGTAGAATTCTGCTGTCATGCACTTTTATTTCCACGTAACCACGCAAATGTGGAAACAGGAAGTCTTCGCAAACTAGAACATTTTCCTTGATGGCTAACATTGTAGGAGACCAGAATATAATCTCTATAATCCTCACGACCCATTGAATCAAAAACCTTGATTATATTCAACATATTCTTTTACTTTCGCATCTCACTGACGTTTAGTTATTCACTGTATTGTTAAGGAGTGGCGTGACTGTTTTAGCTTAAAGTATGCGGAACTGAACTCCGGGGTTCAAGAGCTCTGAATCTCGGCATGGCGGTCGACACAGAAACATTATTCTATGTTCCATCACCTCTTTTAAGCGTTAAAAAGATAWGCTATCCTCTTTCGGTTGTGCTTAGTGTGTTACTTTTAGTGGCATGCATAGTTTTGGCAGTACTATTCTCGCGTACAATTTCGAAAAGTTCAAACAGTTCTATTGAAGAGAAGTATAACAGCTGCCTCGAGGACGATTGCTTCGACATTGCTAAGGGTCAGTACGGATTTACCTAAATTGAAGCTCAACAGATATTAAGTGAATTAAATTATGCACAGTGATTATGATTATGTCTAAAGCCAGCTGCGACAACAACGATAATTGCAAATACCTGTCTTAGACTGAGACTTAATGAATGCAAAAGTATGTCACTATTCTATTCGCTGTTGCTTTGTGTAAAGTGAAGCACAGTTTCGAATGTGTGTAGGACGAGGAAGCTGGTTTTTTTTCAGGCGACCTCTATTAAAATCCCAAGTTAGGCGTCCTACATATATAGAGAGCTAAATCATGACTTTTACGGCAAACGGCAAACTGCAAAAAAGATCATGTGACCTGCTTTTTGGGGGTTTACCGTTACAGTTTCAACGCCAGAGTGGGCTATTTTGAGGTTGCCATAATCGTGAAAACTTGCTCTTTCAAAATGACTGCCCAAAGCACAAGGTGAAGCACGAAATTCGTTGGTCGTTGGTTCAGCTCTGCCGTTAGCCGTTTGCCGTAAACGTGATRCTTAAACTTTCTATCTACGGAAACCTCACCGCAAGTCATGGGAAAGATGAAACATTCAAATACAACTTGTTTTAGCGAAATCGAGCTTGTTTTTCATAAATATATTACAAGACGACGCTTGTAGTGCATAATATTCTCCATTTTAAATCCTTTGAACGACTTTAACTAGACATACGTCACTGAAAATTCTGATACTAGTATAGTTTGAAGAAACTTTGGGAGCGATTTCGAGAAATCCGAGTTTCATTTTCAATGAAGCATTTCTTATATTTAAAACAAGCTATTGTCGTAAATCAGCTCAAGCGTTTGTTTTGAACTTCTTCTTACATAAATTAAGTGTACTTCTTGTTTACTACGTAGAAACAAGCTACGCAAATATTTTTCACTTATTTTTGATACTAGAGCGTGTGCAAAGTTTCATTTCAAGTGAATTACTCTAAAATTTTAAATTTTGGCCTTGAACTGAAAAGTATGTTTTGCATAGAGATCGAATCGTTCCGTTGGTTAACAATTGGAATTCCAAAACCGACTATTGTTTGCTTGCATAATCCCCCCACTCCCCATCCTCCCCCCCTCCCTGCGGCAGTCGATAAGGAATTCAGCTCTAGTCATAGATGTTATACAGTAACAATGCTGATGATTGACAAGCAAGCAACAGAGCGATTCGATCTCAAAGTACACTTCTCAAGGTCAAATGTAAAAAATGCATAATTGCAATTCGAGTATAGAGTTAGCCCGAAGAAACCACTCGAGAACACCCCTTCTAATGCTTAATGGCTTGATTTGAGGTCTCGCAGGTCCTGTTTTGTGTTTAAGCTCCATCCCGTTTTTCTTATCAGTCAATTTACCTACATATTGCTTCTTTCCAGCAATGTTTAAAGAATCATTTGCRCCCATGAACCTTTGCGATCGTTTCTTTTGTTTTGCAAGTGAAATCTTGTTCACGTGATTTCTGCTTGGTTCAAAGTTGAAGAATTTGCGTATGTGAGAAAATCTTGCAAAAAGCTAAAAAAAAAGCCTAATGATTCATATTTAGCTCAGCTCATTTTCATCCATTCTTTCAGAAATGGTTCACAACATGGATCTTAACGTGGATCCTTGCAAGGATTTCTACAAGTACTCGTGTGGGGGCTGGGAACGAAGACATCCGCTGACCGGAAATAAAACATCGATTAGACAGCTCTTTCCTACTTCAAAAGAAAAACCTTGCCATCTTAAAAAAAGCGTTAGAAAAATCCTCACTGAACTATTCTCAGGTGAATGTTAGGAACATCACAACTTCAGCTGTCTTTGCTTTGTATGTTAATAACTGATGCATGCATTAGCTTTACAAAGGACACTCGCGGTGCCGAAAGTGTCCGTTGTAACGAGAGTTGATTGGRTCCCTTATACTTTGCAGAATGTTGCAGTAATGAAAACGGCCCGTGTTTATAGATCTTGTGTGAACACCAGCGCTATRTCGTCCCAAGGCTTACAGCCAATGAAAAACCTCAYTGCCAAATATGGTGGCTGGTCCGTGTCTTACAATTATAACAGCACAATGTCCATGGAGACGAGAATGGGGAGAGTAGCTAGGGATCTGAATGTCAATACACTATTTGGCGTAACAGTGCGACCAGATTTCTATGATAGTTCGAGGACTCTCATCATGGTAAGTCGAAGAAGTTTTCTCTAAAACTGAAATAGCATAACTCGTTTTATTGTGTGTCTGTTTTTTTTTTGTAGTTGTTACCAGTCTGTTTTTTTTTTTTTTTTTGTAGTTGTTACCAGCGGAAACTCAATCTCACTCGTTGTATCTTGATTTTGATCATGATTCCGTGAAACAGGTAAATATGTACAAGACGTAGGCGAGTTTCTATAGTCTTCTTCACGGTTACGTGTGACATCTTGAAAGGTACAAGCCGTTCCTTTACATCGAAGCGAAACAACCGATGAGCTTGCAATGATAGATACCTGTGAATAATTGTCTGTAGGTGTGTAAGACGGTCGTCTCACTTCGATGCAAATGCACGGCTACCTTTCAAAATGGTGCACTGGGAACCGTGAAGAAGACTATTGTGGTATGTTGCGAGAACGTTTTGAATAGAGAACATTTTCAGTTGCGGTAAAAAAWTTTCCAAACGTTTATTGATAAATGGGACTTCACTCAAAAAAGGCACTGCTTAACTTTACTAAAATACTTCATTAGACATTCGATACCAAATAATAAAGAGAAATGGAATAGAATGAAACTGCAACCGCAATAATCAGACCTTAAAAAACCCTCAAAGATCATATCCCCTTCCATCCCCAAACTCAAAAAGACACCCTCACTATCTGCGTTGAGTAACGCCGTAAAATTGATGACTTTCTGTTCAACAAGGTGGCCTTTCTAGGAATTTAGGAGGTCATTTTTTTGTTATCATTATAGAGAGAAAACTATAAAAAGATCATGAAGATGGTTGGAAGATGGTTTGGAGGATCGGATTCTTCCCAGAAGATGATGGCCATCTACGAATTTGAGGCCAACCTTGCCAGGGTAGGTGACTGAGCAGTGTTCTGCAACTACAGCTCAGTATATTCTGGTTCTTATAGCACAAGGCAAAACCGGACTTTTATTCAGGGAGGGATGCAGCACCCACTGATTCACCCATCAGCCGT